GGGTTCTTTTAGACTTCTTTTGTCTAGCGGGATTAAGTTAAAGTTTCTGTACTTAGATTCTTGAAAGTTATAATTTGGTCTGGCAATTTCCATAAGGAGCAACACAGAGAATGTTCCACTCCTCCTTTTTTTTTTTTAATAATTTTTGTTAAAGAAGTTTCAACAGAATAAAAACAATACAAATTTTGAATCAAAGAGAAAAAGAATAGAGAAAGGTAGTAAGAAAGTGAAAAAGAAATAAAGCAAAGAAAAAAAATAAAGTAATAAAGAAGAGTGGCTTCCGATCTTCTTAACAGCAGTTATAAGTACATTTATATTTTATCCTCTACTTCTAAGGTTACATCATAATTTTCTTCTTTCCACAATCTACCCTTTCTAATCATCAAATCCATAAATCACCAGTTCATTTTTTTCTTTTTTCAGCAAAAAGTCCATAAGAGGTTTCCAGTTACTAATATAGTCGCTGATCTTTCTCTAAGCAAACAAATTAATTTTGCCATCTCTGCTAGTTCCGTCATCTTCGCAAACCATTCCTCAGTAGTGGGTAGTTCAGAGTCTTTCCATTTTTATGCATATAGTAGTCTCGTAGCAGTGATCATATATAAAAATAATCTTCCATGGCTCTTTTCTAACTGTCTATTAGTTCCAGCAAAAAAGGTTCTGGTTTCAGTTGAATATTAGTCTTTCAAATTCTTTGTATCATATGTATTTGAACCCAACATTTTTTGGCTTTTCACAAATTTACCAGGCATGATACATTGACCCTTCATGTTGTCCACATTTCCAACATAAATTTGAAGTATACATTGTAGATAATTTTTCTGGAGTCTTATACCAATGGTACATCATTTTATAAAAATTCTCTTTTAAAGTATAACATAGTGTGAACTTCAATCTTTTCAACCACCATTCCAACAATATGTTGTAACTAAAGTTCTTAACTCGTTTTATGATAGTCTTTCACTTGTTCTTCCTCCATTTCAAATTTCAGCAAAAGTTTTATACATTTTAGCAAGTACATGTTCATCATTTGTACATAATTCAACCTCAAATTCTGTCTTCTGATGCTCAGTTCCAAAATTCCTATTATCTACCTTAAATCTTTCTCTTAACTTTGTGTACGAAAACCACTGAAAAATAAATCCTTCCGCATCCAGTTTTTCTTTTGGTTTCATCTTATATTCTCCATGCTCTTGTTCTTACATCTCTTGATAGCTTAATCAGTTCTCTTTACCTGCTGCTTCTTTCCTCACTCCTTCTCCTGAAAAAGAGGTGCTGTGCCTTTAAAACTAGGATATTCAAGAGGAGAATCTTTTTATTTGGGGACAAGAGGCCTCTGGTGGATTTTTGCTTGCAAAAGGCACAAGAGCTTGCCAGTTGTTGTTGTTTTTGTAAAGAGAGAGAAATAACAAGCAGTCATAAAGCAAATCATACCAAGGAAATATTTTTAAACTAAATGCCACTCTAGGCAAAAAAAATCTTTCTGCTGGAAGGCCAAGGAAAAAACTTCAGAAAGTAACAGCTCTGTCAACAGGAGATAAAAGAAATGAAAAGTGATAGGAATGTATAATGCCAGGGTGGCCCACGTTCCTAAGTAAAAGGTTGCAGGCTAAAAAACAGATGAAGTTAAGACTCAATGCAAGACTCACGTGACAGAGGCCATTGTCCTTTCTCTTTAGCTACCATTCTTCCATGATCCATACCGCTCTTCTCTTTTCCCGAGTATGTCAGGCAAATTCAGAAAATTAACATTGTACAAACACAACACAGTCTGATGACTCAGCTCCTTAATACGTAAAGAAAGATACCAAGAAAGTCTGCCTTGATCATATGCAAAGTATACCCTCTCCCATAAGGCAGCTTTCCCACAAGAAGCCATTTACATATTCTGGACTACAGTTCCCAAATCTTTGACCACAATCTTTGAGAGCCGGTGTGGTGTAGTGGTTGAGGTGCCAGGCTAGAAACCAGGAGACCGGGAGTTCTAGTCCCACCTAGGCACAAAGCCAGCTGGGGGGCCCTGGGCCAGTCACTCTCTCCTAGCCCTAGGAAGCAGGCAAGGGCAAACCACTTCTGAAATCTTGCCAAGAAAACTGCAGGGACTTTTCCAGGCAGTCGCCACGAGTCAAAAACTGACTTGAGGGCACGATGAGGAGGAGGTGGCCATTGCAATACCTGTAACAGCAGAAGAGAAAGAACTGGAGAAAAATCACAAAGACCTGCAAATAGGAGTAGAACGACTGTGGCAAAAGAAACCAAAGATAGTACCAGTAGGTGCCCTGGGTGCAATCCCAAAACACCTGGAGCACCACAAGATCATTGGCCTTGACAAAATCACCCCCAGTCAACTGTAAAAGGCAGCTTGACTTGGAACAGCTTACATCCTGTGACGATCGATACCTTTAACACCTTCAAACAACAACATCTGCCTATCCCAGGTCCTTGGGAAGGATTCCATAGGTGGATAAAAATGCCAAATCCAGTCTAAACATCTGGCTGACTGTGTGACCAACAACAATAATAAAAAATCTTTGACCACTGGAAATGAGAGGTAAACATCAAAAGATCTGGAGGTGAATCAAAACACCTGGAGGCTCCCAGGGTGGGGAAAGATGCATGAAGTGGGCCACAGCTCCCCACAACTCTCCCTAAAATGGCCAACAGGGAGGGATATTGGGAGGCATAGTTCAGCAACATTTGGAGGCCATCAGCCCCTTCCTCCAAAAGGGGCTTTATATAAGGTATACCATATGCTGATTTTACTTTCTGTAAATTTGCATTGTATCAAGTAATGCAAGCCTTACTCTAAGATGGCTGTATTTTATGAAAGTTGCATGAAACTGTATTTTCTTATGCAATATTGTCTTTCTTAACCATTGTAAAATGCCCTTGAATTAATTTTACTGAAGGGGCGATATGTAAAAATATAGAAAGAGTATGCAGAAAACGGAATGTACAGATTAATAGCACCGTGGCAAGGATTTCCAATACTTAATGTAATCTAATTAGCATTCTCCTGCTTAACAAGAAGGTAAGTAGTTATTGTTCCAAAACAAATCTTTCCCATACCGGGAGTCGAACCCGGGCCGCCTGGGTGAAAACCAGGAATCCTAACCGCTAATTTCCAATACTTAATGTAATCTAATTAGCATTCTCCTGCTTAACAAGAAGGTAAGTAGTTATTGTTCCAAAACAAATCTTTCCCATACCGGGAGTCGAACCCGGGCCGCCTGGGTGAAAACCAGGAATCCTAACCGCTAGACCATATGGGAAGGACATAGTAAAAGTGCTTCCTCAGCACAGGTCAAGGCTGAAGTAAGCCAAGTTAAGGCAGCTTGTGCCTGCCATCTCTTGGACGAACAGCAAACGGCAATTTAAAACGGAGTCCTTTTTTGAACTACCATCCTTTGCATCGTCCGCCCTAGGCAGTAATAAGGCTACTACAGCAGAAGGCTACCTCTGTGCCCCGCTTGAGCCCTCCCTACGTTTACCGGATAGTACATTTCATAGAGTCTGATGATGATTACTTCCAGGAAGGCGCGTTTAGGATCGCAGCCCCAGGTCCGTTCGGACTGCGATGGCGATCCCAGATCTAGACCGCAGGATCCCGAGAATCCGCCAGGGGGCAGCAAAGAGGAAGGGGATTCTGTTTCGATTTGCTGACGTATAGCGTCAGCCCCGAAGTCCGCGTCCCAGCAGGAGCCCCCCATAAGAGCAACATCTTCCTCTGATGCGTACAATTAAGGAGTAAGGGAAAGAGGTAACTGGCGGCACCTGGGCCAGCGCGGGGCCGAGCTGGTTAAAAGGCAGCTGCAAGGTCCGTTGCCTGATGTTCTCTTCTGAAGTTGTTTTTGTGCTGATGGGCAGAGTCTGAGTGGTTGTAGAGAAGAGGAGAGCTTTTATCTTGGTCGTTTTGTCCTCCTCGTGTCCCAGCAGAATGATCCGGTATCTTGCAGTAAGGTGAGCGTAGGGGGTGGGTGAAAACGTTGGCCTGGACTTGGGAAACGTTTTTCTGGTTTTGTGCTGCTTAAAAGAGATTGACTAATTGGGATTGTGGGTTGTGTTAAGCTGTGTTTTACTTAGCCATGATTTATTGGATAAGCAAAAACTGGTTGGGTTCACACTGCTTGCTAAACAGAATCAATGATAGCTTAATGTGATGTGTGAACCCAAGTAGGGGGCTAGCTTTCCTTAGGTTGTATCCTACTAGTGATATTATAAAAATCACCTAATGCCTTATGTTAAGTCATAATGTGGTTTGTTTTGTTTGATTTTAATCTTCTGCAGCTTGTGAACCATACCATGTAGCTTAGTGAGCTTTATAAAAATATTTATTTATTTATAAATCAAATTATAGTTGAATATATGTGAATCTGGTTATAACTGACTGTCTCTAACCTAAAGTTTGTGTGCATGTTGGTCTGGCTGGGTTCACCTATTGCATCCTGTGATTTATTTGGTTTGGCTTGACTTGTTGGGTGAATCAACCCATTGTGGGTTGTTAACCATGGTTAAGAGCACTGTGTGAACCCAGCCAGTGGCACCGAATGAACGAACTATGGTGCAGTATAAGATGTGAACCCAGACTGGATTTATTCTGTCTCTGTAGTCGCCAGTCAAAACTATATGATTTATCTGATTTTTGTCAAAGTTGTACATGAACCCATCTACCATGCTTTATGGTCTTGGGTTTAATAAGAAGAATGAGCCCGAATATTAAATTATTCTGGCAATGGATCTTCTATGAGGAATAGAGCTGAATGAAAGCTAGGGAGAAGCTGCCCATCCTGCTGGGGTCAGTTGGGGAGACCTTGAAGTGGGTTTTGGTTTTCTGCTGGGCTGAATGCTGAAATCTCAGCTTCTGCCACAGCTAGCCAGCATCTTGTCAAATGCACCGACTCCACCTGGGGAGACCGAGGAGGATTCCCCTCTGTGGCTGGGTTGCCTGTACGAAATGTGACCCTTGCTCTGATTTCTCTTTCAGGCTGTTTCTCCTCATTGTTCTGGCCGCCAGAACGTGGCTCCAGTTTGTTTCTCTGGCAGGTAACCAGGAGGCTGAGCAAATGCAAAACGGGTTGCTTTAAAAGATCCTTGCATGGCTTTGACTGCCCCTGGAGAAGAAAATCTCCTGGTGTGGAGAGAGTCAATTGCCCCCCCCTTTTTTTTTCTTCCTCTGAAGAAGTAGAACACGTCCTAGTCCTCAACTTGATGAATCACGTGAACTGGGCAGAGATTGTGTCTTGTTCTTTCCCAAGATGCAACCTGCCAAGGAAAGAAGTTGGTACCTTCTAGATGCTTTGATCAGTCCTATCTTCCATTATTCTTAACTAGAATAGTTAATAAACAGGAAGGATCAGAGTTGTAGACCCAGCTGGAGATAGCAATAGATATTATACTTCTGGCTATTGCTACAGCTTGGATAATCATTTGGGGTCCAAGTCTTAGGAAAGGCAGAGAGCATTGTTAGTTAAATTCTTCCAAGCTCTTCTGCGCTACTTCTGTAATTCAGACAGGTTCTGCACAAACAGTAAGCTGGTTTTGTGTTCTTTATTGCAGCTTTCCCCAACTTAGTATCCTTTAGGTATTTGGATTACCTTCTTGGCCTTTAGTTTTGCTGGCTGGAAAGAAAGGAATTGGAGTGTGGAATGTCTAGAGGGCACCAAAGGCTTCTGTAGTTATCAGCTGGAGCATGTCAGGAATTTCAGATGTTCTCAGAAGTTGCTTAGCCTGGTGGGAGGACCATGGGCTGACCCTTTTGGAAACTTTCCCATGCTGATTCAAGGATGCTAAAGCAGTAGAGGTCCAATTGGCTAGCAACATTCCTCGGAGGGTGGTTGTTGGGAGAAATAGGCAAAGGGAGCACAAAGTACACCACCTTAAGATCCCATATGAAAGGTGAGATTAAAATCTACTTAATAAAAAAACATTCCCCCTCTTTTTGCTATTCAGATCAGGTGGAAGTGGAATGTCTAGGTAGCCTCGTAAAACTCAAGCTGAACATGAGTAATTTCCAGAACAAGTATGTCAGTTTTGCTGCCCTTGGTGAGTCTTGGTCCTCCTGTCTTTTATTTTGAATTATTAGGAAATACTCAATCTGGCCCTTGTTTTTTAATATGGGATTGCCATCTGATGATGCCAGGATGAATAAATGAATAGAATAATACTGCTGTGCGGTGCTTCAGGTTCAATCACCCCAGGGTGCTTTGAAATGCACTGCAGGAGCATGAATGTAGCATCTGTCTGTAGCACCTTAAAGCAACTGTATCTTTCCCCAAGACCATATGACCTTAAGGTGTTGCAAACAGATGCAATGTTTAATCTCTGAAACACCTTTCAGAAAGTGAATCCGAAGAGCTGTACGGCTTTTCTATCTGAGCTGTTAACTCTCTAGGTTCTAGGCAAGTGACAAGAACTTGTGCTAGCTTCAGCTTATCTGCTTAAGTTAACGTCCTCCCTTCATTCAACTTCTTGGAGATCGACAGGTTTGGGTCTGTTCAGCGCCTGGATGGGAGGCTGTCTGAAAATCCCACTTATGTCCTCCCACTTGCATATTGAAGGAATGTGCTTAATAATAGTTTCTATATGTTGTATAATTCCCCTGCAACTCCCCACTGCCATCAGATTAAAAAACCCTGGTATACTAGGATCATTTATGCCAAGTGATTGTTGAGGCAAAATCCATCTTAGCAGCCATTTAGCACTGTCGACATCTCTGTAGTATGGCCCATCCCTGCCAATGATGGCATGCCCCTATAGTTATGGTGCATATTTTTTCTACTCAAGCTCTCCATCTGTTATGCTTTATCTCAGTGGAAGAAGTCACTTTTCCCAAACGTTTGCAAACCTGGAGCTGGCTTAAGTGGAAAGAGGGACTTTTAAGTGTCCCTTAAGTGTCACTATCTTTTATGCAAGATCAAGCTTGTCAACTATATGATGCTGATGTCCCTGTTTAGAAAAGCAGTTTCCTTGTTTCTAAATAACCAATATTTTTGTTCTTCCAGATCAGTTTGGCAGAGCTTGGTCGATTGATGAGGCCCAGGCTATGAAATGCGGCTATACCATCTTCCAGGATGCTTGGGGGAACATTGAGTTCCGGGCCTCCCTGATTGGCTGCTATACTCAGATAGTGGTAGGTGGGAGAGGTGCATGATGATGGGAAGGCTCTAAACCAGGCTTTGGAATTCTGTACTGATGCCTTTAATTCTGAATCAAGGCAATTTGTTCATGGGCTCCCCATCTTCTTTTTGGGCCAAGGCTGCAGGTAGATGTTCTGTAGTGTGTGGAACGCCGTATAAGGATGGAGCCAGAAGGGAAGTGGGTGTGGTCAAAGCAAAAAAAAAAATGGCTGTGTCCTTATTTTGTCATAAACCGATCTATAAGGTGCTCAGACATTTTCCTCACTGTATTAAAATCACTGTGTTTGATTTGAACCTGTGAGACACTGAAAAGAGACAGAATGTTGCTCCCAGGTTGGAAGTTGTGCACACCTAGTCTAGCCTAGGGGTAGACAAGATATGCTAGGTATCACTGCCCATCTTCCTGTGGAACATGTAGTTCCTACTACAACACTGTGATTCATCATCCTCTAGAGGGGTACAGGATCCCTGTCCCTATCAAGACTGTAATTTGCTCTGCATCACTATTAATCTGGCCTGTAAGGTTTATGTGGAAATTGTAATCCTGTTCCAGCCAGCCTGAAGATGTCCTCTTCCTACACTGAACTGGCCTCAGTACATTCTAGCAAGTTTGTTCCTTAAGTGGTTAAACCAGCACAACTTAACAGCTTGGAGGCCTTGTTCCCATATGCACATCCAAAGACCTTGACATTAATTATTGGTTTCTTCTTTTGTGACCCTTTATTCAGGATGATCAGCAGTTCACTCTAACCATACAAATCAAGGCAGCAACAGACCCAGGGATGCACAATGCGGCTTTGCTTAATGTCCCCGTGAGTTGCTCATACGGCCCGTGGCAGCCCAGGGAAATTGTCTGTGAGACAAACTATATGGAGGTAAGTTTGGAAAAAAGCCAAACAGCCTTCAGCACTGATAGTGCTGCACGATCAAGATTGTGATGATTGTGTAGTTTTCCTAGCTGCCACACCAAACTTATAGGAGGTCTCAGGTATGTTGTGACAGTGGACTGATGCGTGACAACTAAACTGCACTTGGATAGCCCTGGTTCTGTGTATGTTGTATAGGAATGATGGGAGTAGAAGGGAGTTGGTACTTCAACCTGTATAGACTCTTAGATTCTCCTTTAGATTTTTTTTTTTTTAGTATGAACAGGTTAAAGCCTGTAGAGAAATAATGTGCAAAAAAGATTATGCTGGAACTGTATGTTCTCTTTTATGGGGACCAACTGCAGAATCTGTATCCAGGAAGTCTTAATCCTCTGCCAAAGAAAGCCATGTTCTACAAGTATAATTCTGTACTCAGGGCAGATGTTGAATTGTACCAGTTTGGGAGAGGCATCTGCGGGAAGGATGAGGACATGAAAATCTTGCCCAATCTCTGCCTTTCACTCTGGGCACTTTGACAAGTATTGGTGATACCCACAAGTAGGGCTGTGTGTTCCTCTGTTTGGCTGCCTGAGACAAAACAGGCACACCCAGCTTTTCCCTGTAGTGGCTGGATCTGATCCACTTGCTAGGCTGAGATTAATGAGTACTTCAGTGTGTGATAGACTAAGGTGGTGGCTGGATTCCCATCATGTGAATGTGAGGCCATGGAATGTTTTTAGTATGGGGATAATCTATTAAGTGAACATTAGCCTGTTGTGTGATCATGCCAGCCATTGGATCCAGCTGGACTGACAGCTGAGCCTGGTTTCAAGAGTGGTGCTGGGAGACCACCACCTCCTACAGAAAGGACTGACTGCCTAGCTTCAAAGGAATGGGTCAATCCAATCTGGGGTCCAGGGAGGGATAATGCAGGGCTGGGCCCAGCTTTTTCTGCACAAGAGTCCCCTTTTTTAAAAAAAAAAAATTATGGTAAGACTGGTTCTGCTTTCAGATATTCTTGAATTGTACCTGGAGGGTAGGATTGGAACTGAACAACTAAAGAAAAACATATAAAGAGCCATATTATATCATGCCCAAGGGCCCATCAGTCACTGTTGTGGGCAACCAGATGCCTCTGAGAATTTAAGCAGTGAGAAGTAGTTAGGGACAACAATCTCTCTATCCCTCAACTTTCCACTGATTCATGATGGAAAACACAGCTGACATCAGGGCAACATGCGTATGTTAGCACAAACTGACCTCTGTGATCAGGAGAAGAACATTTAATTGATGGCATGGGCATAAGATAAAGCTGCCCATTGCCTGCTGCTTGCAATTTAATGACTCTTGCCTCTTCTCCTGCAAAGCCAGGAAGCATGGACCAGCATCCCAATGATGTCCTCCTAGGCTCAGGATCCCAAATATGAGAAAGGTGACCTCTTGTAAACCTGAGTGCTCGTCTCCCAACTGCATGGCATCAGTGTGGCAACTAGCCAGACTGCACTAAAGCAAGCTTCCACGTCAACGCAGGGCTTTCCCAATTTAGTGTCACACATTTGCTTTATATGACCTGCTAAACTTCTGACAATACACACATTTTTGATTTCTGCAGAGTGCTATCTTAAGTAGGAAGCTGTGGTGAGCTGGCAGTGTGGTTGCTGAGCTAAACTAATCCACTTCTAAGCTTTAATCCTCCAAGCTCAATGGATGTTTGGTGCTCCTGCCTCACATGACCATCCAAAGTCAGGCTGCAGAAGGTATTCAACTACCTTAGCCTGGGCAATAGGATATTTATGAACTATTTTTGATCCTCCTGATTAAGGGAAGTGGCCTCTATTTAGTGCATGGCTGCATTATGCTGTGTTTTCTATCACAGATCAGACCAGGATAGGCCCCAAGATGGTAAAGCTGCAGATCAGAGCATGGCACTTCTTGGCCACTATGAAAGCAAGGAACAGGCTGCAGTTATTGATAGGGTTTATAACTTAATGGCTGCAAAAACATCCAGACTGAATTATTTTAACAACTGGAAGCAAGGGGCTGCAACAATGGAGGTTTTACACTCTCAAACTTCCCAAATGCCTTGAAATATCTCCTAAACATACTATCTCTTGTTTCTCCTCAAGGTCTCTGTGAGAAGGAATGTTCCACCAATCTCAAAGGACATTCTTCAAGATCAGCCTGAAGACTGGGCATCTGCTTTTGCAGAGGTATTTCTCTGTCTTCTCCCTGATCAAGTAAAAGCACAGATAGCATAACTTCCATGCAGAGAATTACATAACTCTAAAATATTTCCTTCTCTTGCTCTCTGCCCCCTGATTCTAGGCCAAAACTGGAGCTCCCTCCGTCTGGCACATAGTCTTTCACATGGACTCTGGGGAGAAGTCCATGCTGGTTGAAGAAGCTCAAGCTGCCGGTTATGGGATCAACATGACAGACACCAGGATTGTGTTGAGAGCTCCCTACAATGCCTCTCAAGCTCAGAAAGTGGAAGTGAGCTCACTTTAATTTTCAGAACATATGAAGATGCAGGGCAGAAGGCAGTGACAAGAATCCATGTATTCAATGCTATTGTTCAGCTAAAGCAACCATAGCTTATGGGGATAGGTGAACCCTTCATTTCCATTAGTATTAGTATGGATAGGCACATCTGATTGGTCCCTTCAATCTAAAGAACTTAATGACATCCCTGATCCCCTATCCATCTATACTCCAGGGATACTTGCTTTTTTAAAAAAAATGTAATTTCATCAAATGTGTTTCGCACATGGAGAGATATTTTATCCCATGTCCTGAAGATCTGGCAGTCTCACACTTGGCCAAAGTAAAAAGTTGGAAGCTTCTTGCTACCATTTCAGATCAGTGGGGTCCCTTTTTCTTCTGTGAGATCCAGTACCTACTACAAGCAGCGTTGGATGCTCCTGATGGTGGACACTGCAGTGGCCTGTCCTATAGGTAGGTAAATAGAGTAATGATCTCCAGATTATGGATCCCTGATGCCTAAACTCTCAAGGCTTGGGTTTCCTTCTTACAGCTTTAAGATCTGACTTAAAAGCTTAAATATGTTTTCTTCTTCTACCCTGTTACTCCCTAGATGGTGTAACCTATACAAAAGAAACAATCACTTGGACCATCCCAAAGAGAGTTTCTCCTCTTCTAATTGGAGTTGATACACTCAAAGAATTGCGAATAGAGATGGGTGTCAACCTATACAAACTGTCAACACAGGATATAAAGAGCCGAGGTTACATCCTGGCCAGTAACAAGGAAGCCATTATAGTAAAGATACCCATTGGTGCACTGGGTGGTAACTACAAGGTGGGCATGGGAAATCTTTTGGGTATTAAAAGCTGTTGTAGGTGATGGTGTGTTACAAAGTATGTTGTACATGCTGATGAGTCAGGTGCTCTGGTGTGAGTTTTTAAATGTTCTCTTCATTTTTATTGTGTTAACCCCACTGTAATACAATATAGTTCTCATCTGTTTCCTGTCCCACAATAATGGGGAAAAGCATCTTTTTTTTTTAAGCTGGGGAGGGTCTATTTAGGGGCCCTATTGGTCTCTTAAGGCCACAGGCTGCTCATCCCTAGTCTAGCATAAAGGAGGACATGGTGTCCAGATGTTGAATTCCTACTCCCATCAACCCTGGACAACATGGCCAATGGTGAGAGATGATGGGGGCTGCATTCTAACACCACTTGGAGGGCCACATTTTGCACATTCCTGATCTATAAAAATATGTTTGAGGTGGGGAGAAGAAAAACAAATGGTTGACCACAGTTTAACTTCTGCTTCTGAATTGTATGTTGCATGAAATCCAAACTGATGGCAGCATCAAGAAAAGAGATCAAACTGGATTTTAATGGGTGCTGCCCATTTTAATACAACATGTCTTGGTATAGGGCCTCTTAAGCTATGATTGCTAGTTGATCTTATCTTCCAGAGTCACGTAGTTGATGGAAAATTGATGATCACCTACAGAATCAACACCTTTGTGGAGCATTTGTGGGAAGATGATAAGAGAGGTATTACAAAGCATCTTATCCTGAAGAAGATCAGCACGCCTCTGCAGCTTGTACCCATCAGGATTACAGACTGTGAGTCGTCTTTATAAGAAATTAGCACAGGACAGTAGAAAGATGCTTCTGGTACTACAAAGATAACATCGCATAAAGGCTTTTAATGATGGAATGTTCTCCGTTCCACTAGTGGTTGGGCAAACTCTCTAGAAATGTGGGCTCTATTTGGCTTTTAAAAGTGTTTAGAACGATGATCTATCATTTAGATGGTAATTTAAGCGGAACCTGTTGTTTATACCCCCCGTAACGTCGTTTCTCCTATACACTCCTTAGTTTACCAGCAAGCTCAAAGGAGAGAAGTCCAGGGAATATAAAAGCTGTTATAAAAATATCCCTGAAGAAAGCAGTGGCAAACAACTTCAGTAATGTTGCCAAGAAAACTGCATGGGTGTGTCCATGAAGTCATCAAGAATTGCTTGAAGGGGATTTTATATTACTGCAGAGGACAGCTTTAGGCAACCACGCCCACCGTCTTCGTTTCCTAAAGTGCTGGAGCTCAGACATAACAAAATAAAAACATGTTGTGACAAATGTTGCCATCTTATGCTTCAGTAACAAGGGGTAGAGGAATGAAAGGGGACTTAGAAAACAAAGATCTTATTAACTTATAAGCTGCAGGGCAGGAGACAACAAAGAAGTGACTTTGTACTTCTTAAGGACAGAGAGTGACAGGGTTTACTTAGAGGCAGTGATGGGATCCAGGCCATCTTGTCCAGGGTCCCCCTACAATCCTGGCTGCACCATTCTTGATGGGTGGTGTGTGTAATATATAGAGAGAGGAATGTGTGATGTGGTGTGTGTGTATATATAGAGTGAGAGGAAAAATCTGAACTCCAGGAGTCAGCTTCGCTGAGGCTTAACATATCTCTCTGCAACTTTTGGCAGGGGGTGTGTGGCAAAGACAGAAAGTGCACCTCTTTGGGTGGAAAGGGTTGCCCTGTGGGCCAGAACACGGGGATTGGGTGATGGCCTGTGGATTGATTGTTCCTGATGTATGCCACCTCGTTCCTATTACCCTTGCTTTTTTAAAAAAATCACAGTAACCTAACAGAGAAAATTGCTTTGTTGCCCCTGGATGGTGGACACTCATATACCCTTTCCAGTGGATCCTAATGATGAACACACTGGCTGATGATGCTTTGCTTTGCATCATGCCAACTTTCCAACTGATTAATTTATTTAAAAGGTTAAATGCCATCCACATTAAATAGGGCAAGAAGTCTGATGGGCATGAAGGGGTGTCTCAGTGGGTACACTGGTGCCCATGGGTGTCACGTTGGCTATTCAAATCTTAGGATGAGCCAAAGGGTCTTGTTAACAGAGCAGCTGGAGGAAAAGATGAGAGAGAACTTCAAGCCCAAAGCACACTTTGCCTTCAAATGGCTTTCTTTCCTCCGCAGATACAAAAATAAATCTCTGGCTCTTCAATGCAACAGTTGGATCCTTCTTGCCAGATGTAGACCTGGTTGGTGTGACAGTGGGTAATTCAGGGCCCTTGACATTGCCTGAGGCTGAGAAATGGAGCTGTAAGATCCTTGAAATCAAACAGCCTAACGGCAGCAAAGATTATCTTGTGCAAATCCCGTTTGATGCTCCTGGAGTTGAGAAGGAGGTAAGAACAGGTATCAGTTTAGGCCTTGTTTGCAGGTCTTAGGGTAGAATGTCTTTTTATCATTAGCGGCAGAGGACCATCAACAAAACACCTGACGTTCCTTTTAAAACTGAATAATTATGTGGAGTGGCTTGAAAGATTTTATTTTTCCAAATGCTGTGTTTTATTATGTATGCCTATAATTAGCACACATGTACTACTTCAGACTTCCCCCTTCTATGCTGGAGGGAGCACCAACTTCAGGAGATGACATTCTGTGTTGAGCACCAATAGATACTTGGACCGTCCATTCTTGAGAATGCCTGGGTATTTCTAACCTGAGGATGGATTATCCTTCCTTAATTTTCAAGAGAATTTTAGGCAATTTGGATCTCTTTCTCCTCCCTCCCCAGCACAAAATGGAACTTGTTGGTCAAAGGCTGGGTAAGAGCGGGTGTGAGGTAACACTGTTTGCAGACCAACAGTGAGGTAGACTTAGAATGCGTGGGCATCTTTTATCAAGTTGTATAAAAGAGGTTGCTAAGATTCAAGCTGTAGGGTATCTGGGGTAGGTATGTCAGCATTTCAATGTGCTACATATGTAAAGAAGTTTGGTAATGTCAGTTTTCCAAGATGGGGTCAAAATCAGCCTTCCACAATCATGATCTTCTCCAAATACGTGGACTTCAGCTCCCAGAATTCTTAGTGATGGCCATGCTGGCTAGGAAATTCTAAGAGCTGAAGTCCATATATCTGGAGATTGCTTGGCTGGATTATGCAGCTGATTTATCTATGTAAATTGTTAGCTATTATGTAGGTTTTAACCCAGAATTACAAAACGAGAGGCTGCATGGTAAAGGCACATTTTGTAATCCATAAATTTTCTGCATCTAAATAGACTCGATGAACACAATGCCACACCTAGCTCCCTTTAGTGGTTACACTGTTATTGATAATGTAGAAACTAATACCCTCCCCATTAATTTCTCCCAGTATGTGCCAGATCACTTCCGAAATTATACCACCAACCCTGTATTGCTATTCAGGGTGATTCCTCAGGCAGAAACCTTTGAAGTCCCAGTCCCTCTGTCTGCCTTGGTGAAGGATGCAGGTGAGTTGATTGGAGCTAATATTTCCTGCCTCTTTCCATTACGGATACCAGAAGCAAAATGGGTAGAAACTGGAGATCCTGGGATAGCAGACATTTCCATTGCAACTGAGAAAGTAGGCTGTTGGTCCAGAAGATGTTACTGTAAAGTTGTTAGAAACAGTTATAGTCTTCCATTGATATCTTAATGCTCTTTAAGGAGGCAGTTAAATAGTGGCACTCTGATGTAGCTAGTCATTTGTGTAATTAATGATCAAGTAGTTACTCATGCCCTTCTGTGCAACTAAGCTGTGAGAAATGTTATTGGAAAATGCGGGTGGATTAGTTGCAGTGGGTAGGAAAGTAAATGGACAGGCGCTAGTCTTGTTTCCTCTTCTCTGCAGTGCTGCCACATGCGGAAGGGTTCTGTGATGATGAAGCCCTCTATTTAGTGGTGAAACGTGGCAACGTGGACGAGAATTGGTTGCCCTTTGTGGGGAACACACCCTTAACTCAGGAGACAACACAGACTCTTGGCTATGGGTTGCAGGACAATAGAACTCACCTGGCCCTGAGGGTGCCAAGGTTCGCCCCTCACGTGTTCCTTGAGGTAGGACAAAGCTGGGGCTGGACAGCCCTCTGTCAAAGAGTGGAAAGGGGTGCCTTCTGGGGTGGAGTGGGAACAGTGGGTAAACATTGTGAAAAAAGCCACCCTGGGGCCTGCAGGCACAGGTACGCATTGGACTCCCCGTTGCTGCCCACTCCTTCAACTTCAACCATCTAGGTGGTGAACATCTGGATAACACTAGAAGGCAGCAAAGGGTTAGTTTTCTGTGTCTCTGCACTGCCATCTTGTGATCATCTGGATTTCTGCAGCCCAAGCGTGAGTCATAGTGGAAGACCCAGCACAGAATAAAATGGAAGAGTGAGCAAGTAAGGGACCGCCCACCCGCCACTGTGGCTGCTACTGCCTTCTCCTCTGCTGTTCCTGAGTCAGCTGTTGCCCCATCAGTAGCAGTCACCATGCTGTGGAAGCTGAGCCTTGTAAGTTGTTGGTGGCTTCCCTGCTATGGATGCTGCCCAGTCACTTCCTCTTCTCCTACCTGTCTGTGAAGGAATGCAAGGAGAGAAAATAGCCACATCATATCCTGGCTGCAAGAAGTCCAAGGAACCACTAAATGGCAGGAAAGAGGGAGATTCTTTGTCATATCTAAGAGGCTTGTTTTGGGGATAGAAAGTTCTGCTTATGCCTTGGGTGAGAGAAGCAACTTGTTACCATGAATTCTTGCTTCCCTGGAAACAGGCCGGTAATTGGCTTCCTCTACTTCTGTGAGTAAGCAAAATGCTTGCTTATTAGAAGCCAGTATCGGAACCCCTTTTGCTTCAACTGCAGGATCTAGGCTATACATCATTCCTTCTCTTCCATCATAGTCTAGATGTGTTATTCTAATCTTCACCCTATTCCAAAAGAGGCCCTTGATTTCTGCATAATGAATGGGAAGAAGAGTCTTCCTGGGAGCCATCTCAGCCTAAGGTGCACAAATGGGTGGGGTGAAGAGCTGCATTTGATCTTTGAACAGCAAGCTAGGGGCTAGGAGAAAACCTAAATAAAATATCAGGGAAATCTAAGATTAAATAGTACTTGGTGATATAATGCTTAATCATTTCACCCTTCTGTCATTTGGTAACAAGTTTCAGAATGCCAGGGTAGCACAAGGTGCCCTGAGGCCTCAAATTAAGCATCTCTGATCTAAGGCCTAAATACCAGCTGTAAGGAGCATCAGTAGAAGGAGGCAGTAATTCTCATGTCCCACTTGTAGCTCCTGGGTTCGGTTGATTGGCTCCTAGATAGGTCTTAACCCCAGCAAGGTTGTGATGTTCTCAATCTATGGCTTAGAATCTTAGGGTACCTCCACTCAGCTGCCATTTTCACCACTCAAACTCTCACAATCACACTCTTGCTTCCCATAAGTGTACCAACCATGCTGTTGCTATACAGACCAGCATATCCTCCAGCTGACCAACGGGTCGATTAGATTCTCTCTCTCTCTCTCTCTCTCTCTCTCAATCCTGTTTCAAGGACTTAATTTCTATTTCCCTATTTCTTCAGAAAGACTGAGGTAGAAGTGAAGCTAATAGAAATTAAATGGTGACTCTGGGATCTTTGGTTTGGACTGAAATTGAGGCTCATCAGCACTGACTAATAAAGCAAGCCTTCATGTGACTAGTGACTAATCTGTTCTTTTTTGGGGTCCTAGGAAATAAACTCCTTTGGGATTGTGACCACCTTCCAGTTGCAATTTAAGGACCATCTCAGTCAAACTGAAATGATTGAATTCACCATTTCCTGCAGCTTCTCTCCAAACAATCTAATTGGTAAATGTCATTCCTGGGCTGGCTAAATGTCTGAGGGACGTTGATCCTGATGTCCCTCAGGATGTTGATACATTAAGTCCATTTGGGATGTAGTCAACCAGACTTGAGGATGTCACTTTCAATCTGACAACAAAGGCACTCACATATTTAGTAGCATATCGTTCATTTTATTTTATACAGCGTTCCTAAATATAACTAATGATTTCGTTCCTCTCTCCCAGCAAGAAAACTGCAGGTTGGAGGAACTTAACATTTTCTCACAGATTCTTGGCTCCTTTGTCTCAAGTACACTGTAGGAAAACTGGATTGTGCAGAACTTTACATAGCATACAGAAAGTATTGTACAGGGTAGAGAAGGCATTTTGGCTTTCTGCCAGCTTAAAAATTAAGGCTGCTTGCAGCTGAGGATTGCTTTTGGAATTGCCATATCTCATTTATTTTTACTTCATTAACATCAACAAAACACAGGATATTTCCCCAATGCTGAGTTAGTGCTCTCCGCCTACCTTAAGTCTACAGGAAGCTACTGGCATGAATTTGGCTGTCCCCATTAATGACCTGTATCCTCCTCGCTTCTGTTTTAAGTCTCTGCAGTCACCCAGCTTCCATCCAATGGGTGAATGGGTGGCAAAACCCTCCCTCCCTCCCTCCACCTTGACACCTTGACAATTCTAGGCAGTTTACAAATAAAAAGAAAACAGTACATATAAAACAGATCATAGCTGACAGTGAGGACCATGCAGGAATAAGGGGGAAGTATTAATTTAATGCTGATAGAGCTAAGGACAACAAGGTTTTCTCACTCATGGTCTGGGAATGAAAGGAAGGCAATGTCCTGGGGGTTGGGGGGGGATTGCTGCTGCTGAATGATTGTACCCTGAGAGGTGTAGATGGGGACAGTCATGGTCCTCTTCTGCGATCTTCCAGTGTTTCCATGTCATCTTCATCTTTTGCAGGAAAAGGATCGATAACTTAAGGCAGCCTCCATAGATGGCTGCAGTACACTCCATTCTTACCGCTGTTGTAATTTTCCTTTTTTTTTTTCCCCCTTTTTCCTAAGGTGTGGTTTTGATGTGGTCTATGAGGAATTATAGGGCTGTGCTTCCCTTCTCTTCAATTGTATAGCCTTATCACTCTTTTCAACCTTTTGCTGCTTTTTAAAAAAGGCATTAACCTCCTGTATGAAAGATGGGAGATTAATAAACAAGAGAGGGAATGAATGGTGAAAATGGTGCCCACTGCCGAGGGGGGTGGTGATGTGCGCTGTAAACTCTTATCTTCAGCAATCCAATTGCTTGTAACTATGACAGTAATATTTCTTTGGGGATGGAAGGCTGGTACAAAAGTGTTGGAGCGGATGGGTGCACAGTAGTGCCAGTTAACGTGGAATGTCAGCTGGAACGCTTGCTTGAAGCTGACCATGAAAGGCTGCGATCAGCACCAAAAGCTGATTGTCTGGAGGCGTTCTATCTGGGGTAGCATCCATGATGCAGCCCTGCTCAAGGCAAGGGGGTGACAGAATTGGGGTACTGCGCTTAGCAAGGAAGGAATCCTTATCTCCTGAACTTTCTGGAATGACCTGTCTCTTGCAGAGTGCCAGCCTAATGGCACAGTGGTAGTGTCTGCTCTGAAGTTGGTTGGCATGCCAGACCTGGAGCCCTCGACTTTAGTGCTGAGAGACAAACGCTGTAGGCCAGCTTCTGTGACAAAGGCAGGAGCAGTCTTTCTCTTCAATGTAACCTCTTGTGGCACAACTCGCAAGGTAAGAGATTACTCGGGGGGGGGGGTCCCCTCTCCAGGATGGTCTGGAAAGGATGCTCTAAAGCAGAATAGAATGTGTCCACTGACCTTCTCCCAGCCTGTTTACCCTCTGGCTGTGTTGGGACGATAACTCTCAGAATTCCCAGTCATTCCCAATGGGGAGGCCAGGTTGGGGAAAACACCCACCCAATAGGACAAGCACCAACCGTTGTGTGCTCTTACTGAACAGTGTTGGGTATAAGAGACAACTGGGGGAAAAACTAGGAACTGTATATTTTCTACTACAGTACTGGATCTTTCCTACTTCATATGGTTTATGAGGTGATAAAGGGGAAGAGGGAAGGGCCCAGCGTAGGCCTTTGAGGAACTTGGAGGAAGGGCAGGGATCCAGTTTTTCTTTTTTTTTTTCAAGTTTTTTTTAAGCTTTGGAATGTTTCATTCCTCCTTCTTTACAGTTTGAAAATGGCATCATGACTTATGAAAATGTGGTCCTGTACTTCCTCCCAGGCCAAGCAATACCTGTGTATCAGTGAGTACTTGTGACTTGAGAGTTGGGGAACAAAGTTGAAGCCAACTTGTCCTTGCCCTGGGTGGCTTCCAAACGTGCTGGGATGGCAGTTCACAGAATTCCCAAGTTGGGAGAGTTTGAATTAAAGCATTGCATTAGGAGGTCCCCTTAGCCAACCATGCTTGAGGAAGGATTGCCTTGGCACCACACAGAATGCTACCCTAAAACATCAAGCGATGAAAAAGTGGTACAATAGTATGGGATGGTTTGGGCCCATCTGGGGAGACTCTGCAGACATGGATCTCCAACATAGCCAGCTAAGTCCTCTGAATGTCCTGTGTGCATCAATGTCCTCCCAAAAATGTGAAAAGAGAGAAGCTATACTTTGGAGCTCCTCGGGGGCTGGGTGAATAAAACAAGACTCCTTTTGCTGGCAAATTCTCATCTTTTCAAGGTTGAAATGTGCTTGCCAGTACTTCATTGGGAAGATGCTGCTGTTTCAGTATAGCCCTGCACAAGCACCATCACCAAGCATCCTGCCTGGGACTGGGCAGCTGGAACTTGCCCTTAAACTGGCCAGAGGTAATTTCAAAGCAGAGGGGTCACCTATAATGTATTTAAGACTGTAATCGATGAAATTGTAACACTCTATTTTGTTGTATCAGCCACCAGCATGAGAAACAGTTTCTAACTTAGATTTAGCACTAATCTGAAGGCATGTGCTTGTACAAGGATTGTCTTAGAAGTGTTCCTTCTGGATAGGAAGGAAGAATGCAACTAAAGGCAACAGTTATTTGTACTTTTAAACAACCATTTGTATTTACCTTTTAAAAATCCAACTTTAAAAAGCATGGAAGTTCTCATCAAAACTATTTTTAAGTATTGTAAGCTTTGTTTATGATAAACCAGGGCCTATAGGATTTCTAGCTTTATGTAGGATTCATCTTTGATGAGTCTTTCAATTGTCTCTATGTGAGCACTAGTCAACTTGCACTGCTACCTTGGCCTCACTGGGAGTTTTTATATTGTTAGGAAATTGTGAATTTGAGTCCTGAAACTTGGGCTGTTTAGATTTGAATAACTAATTAACTTTGCACGTCCCGTTTGCCAGTTGAGGGAGCGTGCCAGATCATCCAGCAGAATAGGGTTCCGTTTTATTGTCTCATTTATCTGTTCGTCCTTCTAATCCAAGCGTGTGGCAGCAGCCAAGAACATCTCTTGGCTGTATTTGGGTTAACGATAAACAATTACCTTTGATCTTACAGGTAGTCCTTGCTTAACAACCACAATAGGGACCAGAAAATTCATTGTTAAACAGGGTGGTTGTTAAGCAAGTTGTGCCCAATTTTACAATCTTTTTTGCAGTGGTCATTAAGCAAATAATGCAATTGTTAAGCGAATCACGCAGTTCCCCATTGATTTTGCTTGCCAGAAGCCAGCTGGGAAGGTCGCAAATGGTGATCATGTGACCCTGGGATGCTGCAACCCTCATAAGTGCAAGCTGGTGGCCAAGTGCCTGAATCACAATCACATGACTGTGGGGGTGCTGCGACAGTAGTAAGTGTGAGGACCGGTTGTAAGTCTCTTTGTGCAGCACTGTTGCAACTTAGAATGGTTACTAAACAAATGGTTGTTAAGTGAGGACAACTTGTATTGGCATAACTGGATGAGTATGACTTGTGGAAGAGGAGTGTCTTTCAGTCCTATCACAAAATGTCTACTTTGATCAAAGATAAAAACATTCAGATCCTGGTTTTCTCACTAATGAAAGAATCACCTCTGACTCGAGAGATGCCTTTGCCTATGCTCCAGTTGTCTCATCTGGGCTTAAAATTGAAGTGTACCTCTTGCATTGTGCTAGTACAGTTCTTAGATTAATAAGCAGATTAGAGTGGGAGATACATAATCCTAGTTTAGACTAGTGATGCTGTACCAGTGAGTGAAGATTGATTCCTGTAAATTAAATCAATTATCTTAGGATACTAGGCTCCTAATAAATTTTTCTTTCCCCCATCTCACTTTTCTGTAGACCAGTCCTACAGGGATTTCTACCTCAACTCTGAGTATCCCATAAGTCGCTACCTTCGAGAGCCTCTCTACTTCCAGGTAGAGCTTCTCCACAGTCAAGACCCACAGCTGGAGTTGTTCCTGGAGGACTGCTGGGCCACTGCATCACCCGACAGGAAGAGTTTCCCACAATGGGACATAGTGGTTGACAGGTACCAATTTTAACTGTGGGTTGAAGGTTGCTTGCCACTTATATGAAAAGTTGAGCACTATGAGTAAAGATGCTGAAAAAAGCAGTTTGACAAGGCCTGACTAGAAAGTACATCTGGCTTGGGTTATGCTGGGGGATGAAAGACCTTCTATAAAAACTACCCAAGGCAGAACAAAACATAACACTTTGTACTGGCTGCAGAAATTGCTGCTCTTCTGTGTTCAATAATCCAGCCATCTAAAGACCTCAAGACGCATGGCCAATTCTTGTTATAACTTCAAAACCCAAGATAGAGCTTGATGGTATATCTTCCAGAGCCTTAATACTATATTGTCTAGCATTAATGCTGTAGTTTGTTAATTATGTATTATGGCTTTCTTTGAGGTTGAACTTGTGCTGATAGGAGCAGTGCTGATAATTCCATGGCATTATCTAATTAAGAGGTCCTTTCTAGTCTTTGATGCCAACTTGGCACAGACTGGACCTCATAGCTATAGCTTTGTTGAGAAACAAAAAGAATATATGAGTTATATGCATATGCATATGTATTCGTGTAGGTATACATCTAATTATTTTTATCTTACACTAGTTGTGAGAATACGGCAGATACACATCAGACAATATTCCATGACGTCCCCAACACTTCTGTCCCATTCCCTACACATCTGAAGCGCTTTGAAGTGAAAATGTTTACATTTGTGGTGAACAGCCAAGCTGTTCAAGGGCAGGTAAGGGTTAGGTAAGACTGCCTTTACTGGTCAATGTGGGTAATTTTGACATGATGCTTCATGGTGTTACACTTGGAATGGCAGTTTACTACGTTGGTCCTATTGATGCTATATCAGGGTGGCTGACTCTTCTGTTGATAAGCCCTAAGATGCTCTCCAGAGTCCTGCCTTGGTAGCATTACTGGCTGTCTCTATTTCCCCACCAAAGGTATTGTATGACAATAAGGAAATATAGCTTTTCTAAGTTCCATGGACTTTTACAAGAATATCCCTATAATACTGTGTTAAAACTGGAATGAGCATCTTTCAGTTCTCTTTTAAAATCACTTGAATCCAATTCTTTCCAAGGGATGAGTTCTTTTAGTACTTCACCACCTTCATTTAGTAGCATGCTTCCTAATTCTCTCAAACTACCTTGTGATGCCCGGTGATTTCTGTCTGTTGTTCAGATCTATTTCCACTGTAGTGCAGTAATCTGCGACTCCATCCAGCCATCTTCCGATGCCCTTTGCACCAGGTTCTGCATTCCCAGAAGGCAAAGAGCAGGTAAGGGACTAGAATATAAATGACTTGGACTGCTGTGCCCATGCATGGCAAAGCACTCTTATCTTCTATTACAACCTTGCCCAACTTCTTACCTCCCAGATGTGCTGGACAACTGATGTAGCCACTGAGTGCATTGGCACGCTGCTTCAATAGCCTGATTGGGAGCAGGGGGAGAGAGAATGGTTTCCCATGTGTCCATTGCACTTTTTTGTAACCTCTCAGTTTTTTAAAGAAGTGGTTACCAGAAGCTATATTCTGAAATGGAAGCTTGCTCTCTAAAATGTGTAGAATTGCATCTTCTGTCATGTAGGTTAATGACTTTTCTTCTTGGGCCTCCTCTGTTCATCTCTTCCCCGTAGTGGCAGATATTGGCTTGTGCCACGCTCAGAGAAAGGTGATCAGTATGAGGTCTACAGTAGCCGGTTTGTGGAGAATAAAAATGCACCCATTAGGCAGTACCTAGAGATGTGGTTCTTATATAGTTTTTTAAAAAACAGATTAAAACTGTTTTGTTTTATGCAATATGGTAAAATTCTAAGTCTGGGCACCACTTATGAAAACACCTATAGATGGATCTCAAATGTGTTTTGAGACTTTGAAGAAGCCATAATATGCAAACATGTACCTATTCAACTCCACAAAGGTATGGGTTGGTCTCTAACTTTCAGTTCTTCCAGCAACTGCCTTGTCTTCGGTGCAGACAATATTGACAAAGAGCTGAGACAATAGGACACAGCTATAACCCCTTAACCTCCATAAGTGATGCGAGTGATAAAATCCCTTGGTCTCATCCACATGTCATAACCACGGCTTGAAACTTAAGGATGCGTCCTCATGGCATTGCTTTTTTCCTATCCTGAGCCCATGGTGGAGACAGTTTAAATTCACCTTCAACTGTTCCAGTTTAAAAATAACATTTCCCCTTTTCACCTGGCTTTAAGTTTTTTTAAGTTTTGCTGTATGATATCTCATCGACAAGACAGTTCAGAGCTGGGATCTGCTCAGTTCCTATTGGCTACTTTATGCTGGTGCAGGTATGACCCCTGTCCTCTGTGGCCATTTTGATTTGGACCACAGTAGCAACTGGATTCTGCAAAGGCATCTGCCCGAGTAATGCCTGACTGATGCTTTCTGAAGTGCTTGTTGGGTGTTACGTTTTTTTAAAAAATTGACGTTTGCTGGAAAGAGTGCTAGTTCTCAGATGTGTTTGCACATGGGGAGGGTAAGGAGAAAGAGGTGGCCTTGGTTGTCTCTCTCTTCCCCTCTCCCCTCCTTCATCCAGGACTGGCACAAGTCCTCCAGCTGTGAAACTAGACAAAGGGTGTGAAGCTGATCAGACTTTGAAAATTGACAAAAAGCTGGCAGGGATCCTTTGATTCAGTTTCAATTCAGTGGCTTCTCTGGCATCTCCACCCATCCTGTGTGTATCCATCAGTTCCACCTCTTGATCCTCAGCCACTCAGTTATACATTGGGCAAGCACAGAATGATACCTGTGCCAGACTCCCAATCAGTCTATTCTCAGCCAGAATTGAGGCTGTTTCCCTCTCTCCCTCCCTTATATAGAGTAGAGAGAGAGAGAGAGAGAGATTAAAAATTCCCCTCTCACCCCTATGGGGGGTCTGTGTCTTCCTCAATCTCGGGTCCTCTACCAGAGGCCTGGGGGTTTGAGGGTTCTGCGCAGTACCTGAGCTGTTCCTAGCACTATATATATATATATGGTAAACATGGATTAATTGCTGCTCCAGAATAATGCTATTCCAAATTGATACTATTCCAGAATAGCATTAAAGCCGTATCAGAATGGAGCACAATTATCAGATGAACATACCCATGTTGAAAGACTCGCACGAAGCCAAAGCAATGTTTTGGCAAATGACCTAAACTCACCACTTGAGCCATCTGTCAAAATTCACTTCCTCCCCAGCCTCATCCCATGTTAGGGGAGTGTTTTTCCCCACCAGCTGGTTTGGGGAGGTAAGCAAAGTCACAAGACACCACCAATTCCATTCTTGCGTCAAAAGTGTAAGAACCGTATACTGGCTTTGTATTGAAACAGAATAGAGTGCGAGGGCATTGCAAAATATGCCAACATACATTTTTGCCATCTCAAGGACTGGAGGAAAGCCCTTTAAATGGTCCGCAAGGAAGAGGCCTTTGTCTCTGCAAAACAGTACTTTCCCTCCTTAAACCCAATAGTGTAAAAACATTTCAATGTAGCTGATGTAAAATGAACTGCAATGCCTTCAGAATCATATAACTAGCATAAGCATGATGATACACTTCTGATTAGAAAGGTATGGCTCTGCAGATGAGAAGGCTAATGTTTTAAAATGCTTTCTAGGCCGGAGCATTGATTCCTCGAATGATATCCAGGGATATGTTTCATCTGGAGCAATTGTGATAGGAAGGAGGAATGATCCCTAAACATCTTATAAAAAGACTTGAATGGTGGCAAGATGTAACTGCTGAAATATTTATTTCTAGGTGTTGCAGCTGTGTATTATGTAATAAAAAGCCTACAATAGGTACATTCGGGTATCTGTGCTTTCTGTAAATCTCTAGAGTAGTTTTCCCTAAACTTTTAGGGACAGTGGGCATACCTGGAACTTTTAGAGTTCTGAGGGCATTGTCATAAAATACTGGTTACAGGAATGCTTTTGTAATGACTAGTCACAAAATACCCATTTTATAAAGGCTAACTAGTGAGGCTGCCTGATCTGAACATGTAATAGAGGTGAGGGTCTGATCTTGAACACATTCTAAAATTCCCTTGTTTTAAGGCTTCCCAGTTTCCATGAAATGAAGTTGTATCAAGCATGCTCTGTTGCAGGGGAAAGCCATCCTACGTGATTTAGGCACAGCAACAGAAATTGCTGAGTGTCTGCTACACAGGGTGTGCAACATGTAACACTTCATAGATAATTTCTAGACTAGTAGCTATTCAAGCCAGTATTTTTAAGTGTAATGAATAAGGCCTAGATTATTCAGCAGCGCTTAATGTTGCTCTACATAATGTAAACAACCATGACACTACAACCAGCTTCATTTACTCTAGGTCAGAAACAGAAGCTCGAGCCTTCTGCAGTTGTTCAATATAAATGGGCCTTACGCATTAAATAAAAAGCTGTTTTGTGTTCTACAGCTTCTGGATTGTGCCATGATCTAGCCCTGCCTCTGGCCCCTTGTAAATTGTACATGTTAATTGAAGAACCTCTGATGGCTATAGAAGTGTCCTTATGCTATACCATATACAGTATAGCGCTAGTACAGTGGTACCTCGGTTCATGAACTTAATTCGTTCCATGATTCTGGTCACGAGCCGAATCAAATTTACCCATAAGGTTCAATGTAAATAAGGTTAATCCGTTCTGACCCCTACGAACGCA